TCGTTTAAACAAATGAGGCATTACACAGGTTTGTGGCAAGCGTATATTTAATGACTGTTATCTTTGTTTTATCTTCTGTCAGTACTGTAATAATTACTGTTAAATACTTACGGGAAGATTAAAAAATTATCAGATAACCCGCACCACCCTATTACCCGCAGCAACGGTAGTTTACTGGAAAATTAATGCATTACCCGCGGGTAATCTGCCAGAAATTACAGTACTTCCTTTGCGTCCCACTAAACAGAAGTTAGTACCTTACCCTATTCTATATTGTGCTTGAGGTTGGATTTGTCCTTTTCAGGGAAAGGTTTGAGGGAAATAACGCAGTGGTTTCCATCCTCACATCCAAGGATGAATTTTTTTAGACCCACATACATTGTATGAATTTGCTTTTCAAATCTCTGTATTTCTATTATGCAAATTATAGCAAAGTTGCATACAGTTCAAGAAGTTGGGAATGTTCAAAACAGAAAGGGAGTAAATGAAAATTTACCTTATTTGTCTATGTATGCGATAAATAATTCTGTTTTCTTTGTGTGCATGAAATGTGTTTTTGTTTTTTTTCCTTTTTTGTATGAAAAATTAACCTTTCAGATATAGTGTGATTTGTAGGTTTCACATTTTGCATCACTATGGTTCAGGTGTATAGGCAAAGTTTTTTTGCAAAATAATATCTTCAGACAGCTTACAGGGAAATGTATATAGGCTTGTGATCACTATAGTATGACTCCAGTGTACTGGTAGATTGCACATGTTGTGGTATATTTGTTTAAATGTGATCTATTTGTGTATGGTAGTCAGTAGTATACTGGTTAATCAACTGTGTGTACCCTCTGTTTGTGATTACAAATGCTTTGAGAGCTTTTTGTTCCATAGTTTCCTGCATCAGGTTAATATTGAATGCAAATATTGAAATCTCCAAGCAATGTAGTAGGAATTGTAGGTTCTGGCAATACTGACTCATGGAGATGAGTAAGAGCTTCAATCATTATTGTGAAATTCTAACAGTTTTTGACCGGTATATGTATATATGTATGTATGTGTGTGTGTGCGTGTGTGTGTGTGTGTGTGTGTGTGTGTGTATATATCTCCAAAGCCTCCGCCATTCCTAGAAATGATTTACCTAAGACTCATGGAAAGGAAACGAAGTAATTATTTTATTCCAAATCTACCCGACGTAGGCAACATAATCAGAAAGCATTTGTTCATTCTACAATCCAACCCCAAGTTAAAAGAACTTTTCCCTCGAAGTTCTATCATACCATCTTTTCGTCGATCAAAAAATCTCGAAGAATTATTAGCACCATCTCGTTTCAAAACTGTCGAAGAGGGACAAATAAGTCATCAAAACAATGGTTGCTTCAAATGTGATAGGAATAGATGCGACCT